TCTTTAATCCCATTGAATTCATGTTGTTCCGCTTGAAGGATAGTGGAGATAAGAACGGGAGGTTGTTCTTTGGTTGGTTTGGCCGTGGGTGTAGGAGGAGGTAAAGGGGTAAGGGTGATCTTCTTCTTATTCATCAAAAATGAATAAGTATTGGCATAACCATCATGTTGCACACGGTGATCAAACAGCCATGGTCGTCCCAAGAGGATGTGGCAAGCATCCATCGGGATGATATCACACCACACGTCGTCTTTGTACGTGCTGCCAATACTCAAGGAAATGAGACTTTGTGTGTCAACACGTAGACCCTTGCCATGATTCAACCATTGAATCGTATATGGTTTCGGGTGTGGTGACGTCTTCAAGCGCAGCTTGTCTACCATGGTTTTGGAAGCCACATTGGTGCAACTTCCACTATCGATGATGAGGGAAGACACCTTCTTTTGGACAGTACAACGGGTGTGGAATATGTTTTCCCGTTGTAGTTGTTCCTCGGGGCATGCTAGAGTGCTCAACGTCCTTCGGATGACCAAGAGTTCGCCATCATCGGGACCTACGTACTCATCTTGTTCTTCCACTTCTTCCGCTTCTTCCTCAACCCAAGTTGGGTCAAAGTCTTCTTCATCACATTCGACAATGGTCATCACCTTCTTATTAGGGCATTCATTCGCGTAATGACCTCGTCCTTGGCACCGAAAGCAAATAGGGGCTTTCTTGGTTGGATCAGCCCGGGGTGTGAAAGAGGAGGAGGGGTTTCTTGAGGTAGATGGGGAGGAGGAGGAGGGGTTTGGGCCGTGGGAAGTAGTGGGGTTTTTGGGGGTAGTGTAAGGTAATTTTGGTGAGGGGTAAGGTGGTTTGGATGTCGAGGAGTAGGGTCGTGGGAAAGGGGTATTATTTTTGGAGTAAAGGGCTTTGGATTTCTTATGTTGAGCTTCAACTTTGAGGGCCAACTTCGTGAGTTCTTCAAGAGAGTGGTAACTTTGCAACTCCACCGTGTTGGCTATTTGCAGGTTTAAGCCAAATAGGTAACGAACAAAGGTTTGTTCGTCATCTTCTTGCAAGTCACATCTCAACAAGAGCTCCTCAAACTCCCGGTTGTATTCTTCAACGGACTTAGAACCTTGCCTAAGCGTTTGGAGCTTAGCAAAATTCTCACGAACATATTCGGCGGGTAAAAACTTCTTCTTTAGAAGGGACCTCATCTTTATCCACGTAGACACTGGCTCCTTGTCGTTTCTTCTCCTCTTGGTGCACGTATTAGTCCACCAGGTTGATGCATACTTCCGGAACTTTAAGGCCACTATCTTGACCTTCTTTTCGTCGGAAACATCTTTGAAGTCAAAGACGCGTTCCACTGTTTCTAGCCACTCAAGGAACTCGTCCGGGTCGTTCTTCCCTTCAAAAGTTGGGATGTCAACTTTGAAGTCAGAACCTTCATTGGCTTTAGGCTTCATGGTTCCACTAGAGCTAATGTCTTCTTCACGGTCACTTCCTTGGAGCTCGTTGAGCTTCATCTTCGTAAGCTTGGCTACCTCTTTAGCCAAGTACTCTACTTGGGCTTTCAAGGCTGTATTTGAGGCAATGAGCTCTTCATGAGACATAGTTCGGGATTCATTTGACATGGCTGAAGTGGAAAGAGGTGGGGAAGGTCGTTTAGTTTGGCTTTGGGGATTTTCTTTGGGAGGAGGGAAGGGAGTGATGGTGAGTGGCCCTTGGGGGATGTTCAACACTTAGCTCTAATACCAAATGTTATACCCAAGCTCAGGTTTTTTAAAGGAACTATCTTGTTAAGAACAGGGAAGAAATAATCGATTGTCCAAAGTGGATAATCGACTATTAGGGGCTTCAGTTTCTTGGGTAATTTTCTGGGGATTGTCTGGGAGGAGGGATAATCGATTTACAGGGCGTGTTAATCGATTATTGAAGATGGCAGGTTTTCTGGGAAAGACTGATAACCGATTGTATGAGAGTGATAATCGACTATTGAAGGCTGCAGGTGTTTCACGAAGGATAGATAATCGATTTCCAGTAGGGATAATCGATTATTTGACATCTCGAGACAGGAACAAGGTATTTCTTTGTGATGGAAAAACAAACCAAATTGGTGTTAAGGGATATTACACACCCTTATCTTAACTTGGGGTTGAATCTAGCATTTAAATAAGATATTACACACTTATTTAAATAACTAGAACCTAAAACTCACACTCAAGAGAACCACTCTTGAGATATAGGATTAGGAATTTGGAATGAAACACACAAGTGAATCACTTTGATTAAAATTGGAATACAATCTGTGTTTACAATGCTCAGGAATGAGCTTATATAGGCATAGAAAAGGGAGACTACCAAGTCTCTTATTCACACAAATTAAAGAAATTAATGGCCACTTGTTGATGTTCCTTTAGTGGGAAAAACACAGGGATTATTGTACTTGTAGGGCAGGATTTTGGCTATTAGTGGTGGGAGGGAATATGTGAATATAATTCACAATTGATTGGCTTAGGTGGGGTTGTTTTGGGCAGGAGAAAAAGGGTGGGGTAGCAAGTTATTTGGAGGTATTTCCTGGGCTGGATATGGGGTAA